AAATAAAAAAATGAATACTTTTTATTTTACTTGGTTGATACTTGTCTTGATGGTGCTTTGCAAATTGACACACTTAACACTTGAATGGCGTGACAAACCTTTTAGAAAATAAATATTGAAACATAGACTTCAAGACATAAAGGCGGATGTCCTAGATGATGATGGGGAAACCAAATTTGAGAGAACTCATAAGTAGTGTAAGAATTGAGTCAGGTGATTGTTGTTTGTCTTCTGATAATATCTTTTGTTCTTAAGTTTTCAATGCAATACAACCCTTCTTGTTTCAAAATAGTTTCAATCATCCTCCTTGTGACAAGAAGTAGACAATGAGAGAGAAAGGTTACAACAAAATAGTTTAGGTTGAGTAAGTTTTTTTTTTTTTTAACTAAAATAAGGTTATTAGGAAGTTTCAAAACATAAAGGACATCTCTATGGTTGACGGATGGCTAAAGAGAAATATTGCCATGTTTAGTTTAGTTTAGTTTTTGGGACATAGTTCCCATTGACTAGAGTAATGTGGTTACTAGAAATATATGATGTTAAAAGAGGTGAATGAGGAGTCACATGGTTTATTTTACCGGAGTCTAGTACCTAAGAGTCCTCACATGGTTTTATAAACATTAAAAGAGGATTGGAGTTCTTACTACTCCTGGTTGGAGAGCAAGTACTAAGAAGTGACTTACTAATAAAATCCATGAGAGTTTAGACATTCAACTTTAATACTTAGAGCAAACATTCCTTTTTCAATCAAAGAGGATAAAGGAGTCTTGCCAAAATTTTTAGAAAAATAAATTACTTCAAAAGCCTTCCTTGAGGATTGACCTTTTAGCTATGCTAGGCGAATGAAAGCCTCCCTCTTTTTGTATAACTTGAAGGACTTCCCCTTGGTGTGGCTAGATGATGATGAGATTCATATAGTCTAACTTGTCTAGAACCAGTAGACCATCCCTTTGAAGTATTTTAGTGATAACAAATATTGAATGTGATTTATACATGTTGGAAGTCCCACATAAGTGGGTGCAAACCTCATCTTACAAGTTGATTTTGTAAGGTTGAGTTAGACTTAAAATCCATTTCTTAACAAGGTATCAGAATCAAGTTAAAGCCTATCCTAACGAAGTTTGTTGTTTCTTGAGTCTATTGCTCCACCTATTATTGGACTGCTATTGGACCATCATTAATTTCTAGTCTCATGCTTGGGATGTATATGTCTCGACGTGAATGAGGTGTGTTGGAAGTCCCATATCAACTATAGATAAGGTCAATGTATAGTTTATATAGTGGGTATCTTTCAAGCCGGTTTTGTAAAGTTGAGTTAGACTTAAAGTATATTTCTTAACGCATGTTTTATTCTATGAACTTTCTAATGTGTGTTCTGTGCAAATTGTAGCTCTCTAGATTGGCTAGTATTCATCCATAGTTGTTAGATGTCTCATCAATATTTGTCTAAAGCTATAATTTCCTATATGTAATCAATTGCATAATTAATAAGTTTACATGTTCAAAATTAGCTTTAATTGATTAAGTGCACAAAGCACAACCTACATGGAAACATGTTTTGCAATATTCTCATATTACCTTTGAAAGGAAACTGAAGCAGTGTGCATCCAATAAATTGATTTGATCTTATTACGTTTTTATTGCTTGTATTTGAATTGTTTCCATGATAAGCTTTGCAAATATTAGAATATGTATTAAATATAGGTAGTTGTTACGAATGTAGGTAGTTAGTAGTTGTATTTTAAGACTGCAATATCCTACTGTCCACCATCGGCCATGCTAGCCTACCGTCGCGGTACCGCCCTTTTGTCACCATAACATCTCCACAAGGCCCTTGGGACCTCCTTGTCCCTGTTTCAACTTTTGTTTCTTCATTTTGGCTTTAGTTGAGAGGCTCCTCTCTCTCTCATACTCTTATTGCACCACCATTTGCCATCTCTTATAGTTGGCATTGGTTGTGGAGTGTATATTGTTGAAATTCTGATTGTTGATGAATTTTTCCTTCAACTTGTCTTTCTTTTCTGAAAGTGGATACATACGTCCTCAAACGTTCCTTTTGTTAGAGAATTGACCGCACCAAAAATAAATGTTTCTCCTTACATGGTTTTCCTAGCAACACAACAAACACCTTCCATTTTAGTAAGGTTGAACCACATTTTTCTAAAAAAGAATATGAAGAATATTTCAGTTTGAAGTCTGGCAGCCAAGCACAACCTTTCACTAGTTTGTCTAAAGCTTGCATCTCTCAAACCTTAGAAGGTCAAAGTCCATGAATAACTAACTCAGGTGCTTCCAATAACATTTATGATAATGCTTCCTTATTTTCTTTCATTTTTTATCGTAAAATTCCTTATGCTATTACTTTAGGCAATGGATCCAAAGTCACTATTCAAGAAGTTGGTCAAATCTGTCTTTCTTCGTCTTTGAACCTAAAACATGTTTTTTTGTCCCTAATTACCCTTTTAATATAATATCCTTAAGTTAATTTACTAAATCTTTAAATTGTTCTATAACCTTTGGTGCAAATTTTTTTATTATACAAGAGTGTAATACAGGTCCTGATTGGTGAAGGACATGAATATAAGGGACTCCAATATCTAAGCACTAGATGGTCAATGTGTTGTTTAGCATCCCCGTCTCCCAAGCTTTTGCATGACCGCTTGAGTCATCTACATTTATGAAAATTAAAAGGGATGATTCCTGAACTTAGCAAACTCCAAGTCTTAGAATGTGAGTCATTTCAAACTCCAATTTTGTTTTCTCTATAATTTATTTTGATATTTGAGATCCAAGTTGGGTCTCATCCTTCGTTTTTTTTTTCTCACTTCTATCATTGAAAATTATTGTTGTTCGGGTTTACTTAATGAAAGATGGATCCAAACTTTTTAAATACGTTCGTCTCATTCCTTAATGAAATCAAGAACCAATTTGGTCAAGTGATCAATATCTTAATGAGTGACAGTGCAAAATAATATTTTTCTCCTGGTTTTTGTACTGTTTTAAACTCTCTTGGCATTTTACACTAGTTTATGTGTTTTCATATACCTTAGCAAAATGGTATAGCAAAGACAAAACATGTACACTTATTCTGTCAGATGTTGAGCCTTGTGCGGGTGGACCTTACAACTGTGGCAGTTTCTTTATGCTGGGAGCTTTTGGCCCTTGCGCTTCCCTTTTCTGGTAGTGTTTGGCAATTAAAAGGAGAATCGGGGTAAAAACAAAGTTGTAAAAATAGAGCTTCTAGTGAAGCTAATCGGTGGGGCTTCTACTTTCAAGGCTGGACCAAACACTGCCTTTCTCTGTTGCATATGGTGTTTTTGCTGTAGTGTGGTGGATTCAACTTGAATGTAATGCAAAATTTTAGTTGTAGATACCTAGTTCCTCTTTTATGGAACAGACTTTGTTCTAGTACATTGGAGGTGTGCGGACTCTAACAGGCACAGGGGAGGGAGATATCAGAGGTTGAATCTTTGTCATTACATACGAGCAAGCCAGTGCTGATTTAGCAAAGCTTATCAAAAATGGTTTTCTTTAACTAATGCGAAAGGGGTGCTGGATTAGCTTTTTCATTTATTTTTCTTAATTTGTTCTTTCCTTACCCCTCCCCTGTTTTAAGAGGGTTCCTTATCCTCTGAGCTATGTATATCTCTCTGCATTCTTTATAGATGTTGTGTGTAAAATATAAAAGCATTAAATCTGAATTGCTTGATCAATTAATCTTTGTTTTAAATATAACTTCAAAGTTGATTAATCTGGTTCCTGCTTTAAGATAAATAACTAAATCAAATAATGCATGATTGTGATATGTACTTGTGTTGAGTACAATTAATGCTACTTCTTTCCAAATATCCAAACTTCTTAGTTATTTGTTATTTTATATGTTAAATGTTTTGTATGTGTGTTGGTAAGAAAGTAGTTTGAAATACTGTGATAACCCAGGTTCGATTCAATGTAGGGCTGTACGTGCTATGAATGAAACTCTGAAGCAAAATCGTCTCTTGAGAGAACGAGGGGATGATAACTCTACGAACAATAACAGTAGTGATGCAAATCTTCAGAAAAATGTATGTCTGCATTATTTTGGTAACAGTGGAATATGCTATTATTTAAACCTTCTAAACCTATATATCTAGTCAATTGTTTACGTAGTCATGATAATCCCATCATTTTGTTAACTGATTTCCATATATGTTACGTATCCGAGTCGGAGACGTAATTAATCACGATCTGTTAGGGGCTGGCGAGTATACGAAAGAAAGAGATATAGGAGAGAAAAAGAGGGAAACCGAACGGTAGAGGATATGGGCCGAACGGTAGAAGGAAGAGAGAAAGAGGACTGAACGGTAGAGGATATGGGCCGAACGATTAACGATAGGGAACGAGCGATCCAGATGATAGAAGGGGGAGAGAGACTTAACCGAGCGGTAGAAGGAAGAGGGAGCATGATGGCCGAACGGTTAGTGACAGGGAACGAGGAGCACGATGGCCGAACGGTTAGTGACAGGGAACGAGCGGTCCAGATGATAGAAGGGGGAGAGAGACTTAACCGAGCGGTAGAAGGAAGAGGGAGCATGATGGCCGAACGGTTAGTGACAGGGAACGAGGAGCACGATGGCCGAACGGTTAGTGACAGGGAACGAGCGGTCCAGATGATAGAAGGGGGAGAAAGACTTAACCGAGCGGTAGAAGGAAGAGGGAGCATGATGGCTGAACGGTTAGTGACAGGGAACGAGGAGCACGATGGCCGAACGGTTAGTGACAGGGAACGAGCGGTCCAGATGATAGAAGGGGGAGAAAGCTTAACCGAGCGGTAGAAGGAAGAGGGAGCACGATGGCTGAACGGTTAGTGACAGGGAACGAGGAGCACGATGGCCGAACGGTTAATGACAGGGAACGAGCGGTCCAGATGATAGAAGGGGGAGAGATACTTAATCGAGCGGTAGAAGGAAGAGGGAAAGAGGGTCAAACGGTGGGGAGCAGCAAGGAGCATCCTAAATGACACAACAGTTAGGATGGGCGGGAAATTTATTAGAATTTAAGGGCGTATCTCAGGATATTATTAAATATAAATTAAATATAGTAAATAAGGGTGAAGATATTCTTACCCGATAATCTTAATAAATAGGCATAATTACTATGATTCTTTACCTTTTCGGGAGAGAGTGATTAGTATAAATAAAGTTAGAGTCTAGGTTTTAAAACATGTTTTTATGTGTGAGATTTGTAAGAGAGGTTATGCTCTCAGGTAACTGACGAAGATCCTGCTCCCAGTTATTGGTTGTTATCTTTGGTGCATTATTTTCTATTCAATAATTCAGTAAATTTCTAGTGTTCCTTATCTGTGCGAGTGTGTGAGTGAGCCTACTGGTTACGGCCCAAACTTAGGTACGTAACACGCTCACAGTAGGTAGAAAAGACAATGAACGAATGATAATGGACGAATGAATCTCTTTTATTGATGGTAATATTTGGATAAAAAAAGTAAACAATAATTGGAAGCATAACCTACTTCAATTACTTGGGAGCATAACCTCCCTTACAGGACGCATAGCCACCTGTCAACAAAACTCAGTAATCAAAAGCATACCCTTAACCCTAGACTCTAGCTTTATTTATACTAATTGTTTCCCGCTCATCTCATACTAAATATCTCCCTAGAATATATCTATATTTAATATAAATATCCCTATATTTAATGTAAATATTTCCCCGTATATTTCCCTAGCATATATCATTAATTATAAATATCTTATATTGTTTATTTCCCTGGAACATATATTTATTTACTCTAATTATCTTATACTGAATATTCTCCTAAAATATAGCCCCCTTTACTGTAATTAGTTCCAGCCCATCCTTAACAGTTGTGACAGTTAGGATGGTAGCTCTTCAACCGTTCGGCTCAAGTCCTTCGTTGCTTCCCACTGTTCGGTCTAGTCGCTCTCCCTTGTCCACCGTTCGGCCTGCTCGCTCCTTGCCTTCCACCGTTCGGCATGCTCGATATTTGCCTTCCAAAATTTGGCCTGATCACTCCCTGCCTTCCACCGTTCGGCGTGGTCGCTCCTCGCCTTCCACCGTTCGGCCTGGTCGCTCCTCGCCCTCCTCCGTTCGGCTTGCTTCCCCATGTCTACTACCGTTCGGCTCCAGCTCTTCACCACCTTCCACCATTCGGCTAGACCTTTCCACGCCTTCCACCGTTCGGCTACCATTCGGCCTTTACGGTCAATACCGTTCAGCCTCACTTTCCTCCTACCTTCCTTCTCTTTCTCATATACTTTCCAAACCTTATTATTACCCCCTACCTTATACCGTAACAATATATCTTGTGATTTGGTTTCTCAAATCCTCTTATGTTATTTAAATTACTTTAGTGTTGTCTTGTCTGGGAAATCTCAGCTTAAGAAATTATCTTCTCTGTTCTAACATTTCTATTTGGTTCTGCCTTGTCTTCTTTGCTAATTCTAATATTTGTGTGTCAGTTTTGATTTATTGATTTTGGTTCGTAGCCAAAAATATTTTACTTGCAAGGCCATTTGTTAGGAAAGATCATGTGAGGTATCCCAAACTGGTGCATTGTTGCAGTAAAACAGTTTATGTAGTATGTGTAAGACATGAAAATTTACCAGACATTTATGCTGTAATAAAATCAGTAAGGTCTTGATGATGGATGAAAAGGGGTCAATGATCTTTAGAATGAAGTTTAAGGGTCAAAACCGTGCCTGTATTGGTGGTTTGAACAGTACTTGCCACTGCCAGATAGATTTGGGTCTGAATTCTGAGGGCTTCCATGGACAAATTGAATGTATTTGTGGACCTGGTTATTATTAATATCTACCAAGAAAATTAGGATCCGGTATAAATAAGATAGAAAAGATAAGTGAAACAGTAAGAATTTAGATCCTAGAGTTCGATTACATCACACATCACAAGAGCTAGTTATGCTGTCATAATTAGTATTCTTTTTGTAAAAAAAATGTATTTCAAATTTACGAATATTTAAATGGACGTGTAATTTCTTCCACAAGAATTATGATAGTCCTTTTTCTATAAGAATTGGAACTCTGTATGTACTTCGAAGGGAAGAGATTAAACTCAATACGCCTAAATAACAAAACAAGGTCCATATAGAACACATGACCAGAAATAGAACCACCACCAAAACTGAACTATGACTGAAAATATAAAGTGAAATAAAAATTTGTGTAGATAATTCATAATGCTGATATAAGGTAGAATATTGAGACAATTTGATATTAAAAATAAGCCCTGCAAGTTTGCACATGGTTTCCAACCTCGCATGTTAAAAATTTATTATTGTATGGAAGTTAGTGTCTCTTGAATTATGTATATATTTTTCTATTCATGGTTTTAGTTTCACCATGTGTTGGTTTGGTCCAAAAAATAATTGGATTTGCTTTTGTTCAAAACGAGAATCTTGTCTTTTTACTCGTTTTTAGGAGAGGGAGAGAGGGGTTTGCTTATTCAGTTAAGTTTAATATATTCTATGCTCTACATGTGATTCTTATTCTGCTGACAGGTGTCAAATTTTCATCTTGATGGTCATGATGCACTATATTCTCGTCAACATGACCAAGGAAACTCACAAAAGGCAATGTCATTACCATCTTCACCTCATGAATATAGAGGTCATTCTTCGGAGAGAATTGGACTGTCGAGAGAAGGAGTGAATGATGAAATGGAGTCAACTTGGAATAAAGTACTGGAATCTCAAATGTTCAATAATAAACCTCTTTTACCATACGAAAAATGGAATATTGACTTCTCTGAATTGACTGTTGGAACTCGGGTAGGAATTGGTAAGTGTTACTTCTCATTTAATAATACATGAGTTGTTATCTGCCCTCTAAATGATTTGAAAACATTCATATGGGCATGTTAAAGAGAGTCGTGATTTAATTGCAAGGATGTTTTTTTAGTCAATCTGTCTGGCTAAATCACAGACCAACATTTTTTGGGCTGGATTTCTACATTTCTGGGTTGGGTTTTGGTAGATTTAATCAGACCTGTCCATTATGTTTCTGTGTTGGATTTGTGAAAGATCTGGTCCAAATCTCTTACAGCCAATGGTAAAAAAGTTGGTGCCTAGAGCCTAAAAAAAACGTCAGTACTAAATATTCTTCTCCCACGTAAATCAATGGATGACTTCTTTTCTTCCTATATTAAATTTCAGTTTCATCAATTTCAAAGGTTGGGTTTTGTCTTAGAAATAGAATTCTTGGGAATAGGATTCCTGGGAAATTTTAATAAATATTTATGGGTATAATTCAATTTTCCTTGGAATTATATGTAGACAGTCAGTTATCATGGTAAAAATTAGTAACCTTATTGTCATTACCAGAGTTTTATTCCCACTTGTGAAGATGGGAAGTTTTGTTCTCACTTATCCACAAATTAGCATTTTCAAGAATATTTTATTCAAAAGAAATATTTTCATTGTATTTATTATGTATGGGAAACTTTAATTCCCAAGTCACTTTCTTAGGAATTTCTTAACATTCCTGAAACCAAATGTCACCTTAAAGGTTAAATTGTAAAAGGAAAAAAGTAAAGAAGAAGAAAATGAAGTGCCGTTAGGTTTCAGTGAAAGTAGTAGTGTCATTAATCTAAACATGTTTCTCTCCTTAAGCTGTTTTTCTTTTGTCTTCTGCTATTTCTGGATAATACAACTATGGTGATTGTTTTCCTTTTGTTTTACATGTTCGGTGTGTTATTTCTTGAGAACTACTAGCAGCACTTGGATTGCATTTCTACTGTTGATTTTCCCCTTGTTTCTTTGTGGCTGGCAAGTTTACAAAAGTAGTGTAACTAGAAGAGTATTGGTTAAGAATGATAGCTTCAGACATTTGATTGTCTTGGGCTACTAAACCTTAGCTTGAAACATTTGATTTGAGGTTTGAGTACGCACAAGAGGGAAATATCTCAAATTGATTTGCTTTATTAGAAAGGAGTTATTTTGTTTACTTGGAGCAGATTCATGTCATGCAATTGAGTGGAAGTTTGCTATTCAACTTTAAAAATAAAATTGTCTTTTTGACATGTTTATGGTCACTGCTAAATTACTATTTCGAGGGAGTTCTTGACTAAAGAAGTAGTTGCTTGAGCATTGCTGTATTATTCTTTTTCAGGTTTCTTTGGAGAGGTTTTCCGTGGCATATGGAATGGCACAGATGTTGCAATCAAGGTTTTTCTAGAGCAAGATTTAACTGCTGAAAATATGGAAGATTTTTGCAATGAGATATCTATTCTGAGGTATATTGCCATTCAGAAACTGTTTTTCAGCATTTTTTTTCTGTTATATCTATACATTTCTGACTCTTTTCTCACTGGTGGTGCTTGTTTTCCTCCAGCCGACTCCGACATCCTAATGGTATTCTCCAACATCCTTACTGTTTACTTTTTTCTATAGTTTGACTTTTTTGTGTTGTCCTTGAACATTTAGTTGTCTTGATACGGTAATCAATGGAATTAAATCTGAACTGTTATCTTTTATTATTTCAACTGATATTTATAATTATTTTATTAAATATTCTTACTCAAAAAGAATGACAATAATATTGTACACACTTGGTTATAATAAATCTCATGTAGCTTTTTTCCCTGGAAATCAGCTGTTATTTATTTAGTAATGAAATTATATGCAGTTATATTGTTTCTCGGTGCATGCACAAAGCCTCCACGGTTGTCAATGGTTACAGAATATATGGAATTGGGATCGTTGTATTACTTGATACATTTAAGTGGTCAAAAGAAGAAGCTTAATTGGCGGAGAAGACTAAGGATGTTACGTGACATATGCAAGTAAGTTTGTGGTTATTCTGTTCATACTTCAGAATCTTATCCGTTTCATCGGCATTTATGTTATAAACAGGTGTTGCACATTAATTACTACATTGTTGTCTTTCAATAAACCATAAAATTCCCCTGCCAATTTACTTTCACCTTGAGAAATAGTTGTCAAATTTTTGTTAATTGTGGAGCATAATTTTTTTTTTGTGGTTTTGTCACTATTTAATTAATAAATTATTACTATCATTATATTTAATTTTATTATTTAATACGTTTAAAAAAACTGTTTTTGCCACCTGTTTGATAATGATTTAAAATATGACCTATGAATACCTTGGTTGAATATTCTGTTCAGTTTTGAGTTTTATGAACATTGGTATAAACGTACCCCATTTCTGGAAAGATTACATCTGGTCTAACAATATTGACGAGAATAACTTGCTTGTGTAGGGGTTTGATGTGCATACATCGAATGAAGGTTGTTCACCGTGATCTGAAAAGCGCAAATTGTCTGGTGAATAAGCATTGGACTGTGAAAATATGTGATTTTGGGCTTTCAAGATTAATGACAGAGTCTCCTATGAGAGATTCTTCCTCGGCTGGAACTCCGGAATGGATGGCTCCTGAGCTCATTCGAAATGAACCATTCACAGAAAAATGTGATATCTTTAGCCTTGGGGTGATAATGTGGGAACTATGCACATTGAGCAGACCATGGGAAGGAATACCACCTGAGAGGGTATAATATTCAACACATTATATGTTCATCTTGCGTGATAGTTTCTATTTTTCTGTCATGTGCTTCCTTAAAGAATTTCCATTTTTCTCTGCTGGACTAGGTGGTCTATTCCGTTGCAAATGAGGCTTCCAGATTGGAAATACCAGAAGGCCCTCTAGGAAGGCTTATTTCAGGTCCCTGCAACTTTCCTTTGTTACGTGTTGATGGAAGAATTCAGAATCGTCTGCTTTAACTAATTTTTACGCGTTTTTTTGTCTGCAGATTGTTGGGCAGAATCCCATGAGCGGCCAAGTTGTGAGGAGATTCTTTCTCGTTTGGTGGACATCGAGTACTCCTTGTGTTGAAGCAATATCTTTTGTACATAGAAAACTTTGGGTAGAGTTTTTACATTGTATTATCGGCTGATGTTGTGGACTATTTGTGAATTTTGTTCGTTTTCGCAGAACGTGCGAAGTATGAATCCATAGTTTATCCCTGTGCTGCAACTGCATCTCGTTCTGGGCCAATGAGAAAGATGAGATCAATCCATCTCTCGTATTTTATTTACAATGAAATTCAAAACAACAGTGTCTGGGGAAGAATAGTTATTCCCGATCCCAATTGGATAATAATCATGCAGTTTTATGAAGTTTATTTAAATATTTAGATTAAGTTGGTTCCATGTAGAATATCATAATAGAAATAAATTATCATATTTTTAAATTTTAAATTTATATTTAAATACTATTTTTATTCTGAGGTAATTATGTAATATTTATATTCATCTGTTGCTATCATTTTTCTCGAATGTATATAAACATAATTGTTTAACAAATATGGTTAAATGTAGACACCTGGTAATATTAGACCAGTATAAAAAACAAGAAAAAAATCCTGTAATGACCAAAATTGGGTTGGATAGATATATTAAAAAAGCAACTCGTAATAATTGCTTTAGATTTGAATTAAAAATAAAACCTAATATCCCTTAACTCCCTTGCTTATTGTGCTGAAGCTTCTTGAGAGTATCAATTTAGTCATGGTTTTGTTGCCTAATGCATGACCTCAGTGTCTCCTGTTGCTGGGGCAGTAGATGATTATATCTACTCAGTTGTACGTCCCTTATATATATTAGATGTTTTTGAGAAAAAAATCATGAAATGATCAGTCAGTAGTATTCCATTTTTTTTATTCTAATTGCAGTAAAACAGAACTAACTACTGGAAATTACGCATGGAACAGGGATTTCAATACCATACCGAATGAGCAAAAGAAGACAAGCAATGTGTAAATGCTAAACATGCAGGGAAAACTGGAGCTAATGAACTGAATGGTATAGTCCAGCGCAATAGAGTGAACTTCTGTGTGATTATGGGAGAATGTCTCCTACCATTGTCGGGATTTTCTGGAAGATGCTGAGAACAATACTCCATAGTGGATGATGTTGATGACGACCATGAATGGAAAGTTGCAGAACTGAGATATTCACATTAAATAGAAAGGAATTTGATCTCCTCGTACCAAACCAGTTCTAGAGATGTGAAGATCTCCCCAGAGTTCCATCACGAGGTTATGAAGACCAATGAAGGAAGGGCAAACAGTGAGCCTCAGACAAGCCTAATTCTACCAGCAAGCACCTGGAGAGGACACTCGACTGTTGGACGGTGCTGCTGTCCGTACATTGATGGTCACTTGTTCTAAGGACTACGAAATTTCAATTGCTCCAAAACCAAGACCAATCCACTTTCGATATACATTCAACAAGTTTAGAAAATTAATTTTTGAAATGTAAAAATATTTAAAATCATTTCCAATATTTATTATTCAATATATATCAAGGGTGTGTTTGGATAAATATTTCATGAATATTTAAAAAAAATGAAAATAAAAATTTCTCTTAAAAATAAGTTAATTTGTAGAAATTTTTTCAACTAACTTTTTTAAAAGATCAATTTCAATTCACGCACAAGTTAATTTTAGTTTAGACAAAAAAAGAATATTTCATTTTTTATATTTTATTATTTATAAGTGTTTATGAATTCTTTAATCCAAAACAAACTTCAATGATACTTGGAATGAGGAATGATCAAGTTAATGAAGCTTTTAACTCAAGAATCATTTCTTATCTTTACTCTTTAATTTAATTTAAATCCGATTGTTTTAGTTTGTAACTAATTTTGACCATTACGTTAAAAATAATAATACTAATACTACTAATAATAAGTATGAGAAGTAACTCTCTTAAATTATTTATTTTAATAAGTAGATCTCTTTAATTCAATTGTAAAATTTCACATCATTAATTACAAACTTTATTCCAAAAATTAGTATTTGAAAAGAAAAATAGCTGCTAAGACAATCAAACCTGTTGTAGCTCCATCACCATGTTCACATGCCACTTCCCCAACATCATCCATAACCAATGGAGACCTCTTTTCACGGACCTTTGTCAAGGAATGGAAATAAAGAAATGAATTGCGTGTAGCACGGGGGAAGAGAGAATTATATAATGTAGTATGACTCTACTGTACTGGGCAGAACAAGAGAACGGTGAGAAAGAGGAGGGGACACGTCACGACCACTAACTTTGGTCTCTCTCTGCGTATCTACTGACAAAAGAGGGTTAATTGAGAGAAGAGGAAGATCAAGATAAAAGAAAAACAGGGGAAAGACACTATGGAGAAAGCAAAAGAAAGTAAAGAGTATGACGCAGGAGAATTAGAGAAAACTTCAACAGGTATGCCATGAGCTTGTCCGAAAGTAACATATGCTTGAGTTGTGTTTCATATTCATTAATGGTTGATTATATGCTATGCCATCTCCTTTGTCACCTTTATCATTGATTTCTTCCGTCACCCATCAAATTCTGTTATGTATACCCTGTTCAATCATTCATTTCATGCTTTCACTCGTCGCTCTATTGCATTCACCATTAAACCCCAACCATAATTGCCCCCACAGGTTTATTAAGACAAGAAATACAAAAATCAATTCATTACATAGAACATCAGAGTAAAACATCCCTTTGTAACTCAACCCGTAACCTCAGAAAAAAAAAAAGCACAAAACAGAATCAACTCCCACCATCTTCATAAGATTTCACTCATAAACCATTTTCCCATTCATCTCCTTCATTAGATTTCACTCATCAGCCACCTGTAGCACCTCCACGACCAACGTAGGACCACCGAGACTTCCTCTTCGAGCCATCATCATCCATCACGCTTCCATCTTTCACCATTTCTTTGTAAACCTGCAAGCCAAAGACAACTTCTTGCGTTGAAACTCAAGGTTCAAATAACCTCTCTGATAAAGCTTCATTCTGCTCCAGACCTCCGCCGTCATTCCCGCAACTGAAACAGTAGCAGACCACCGTGTCACCGGCTTGCTCGTTCCCCACCACTGCCATCTTCGTCGGAAATTACCAGTCATGGAGGACGCCGCCACCACTGCTCCATAGTCGCCATCTTCCTCTCGCCTCCCTCGTATTCTTTAATGTCCGCCCATCACTTCCTCATCGCGAGCTACACCGCAGCTGCCATGGAGGAAGGAGCCTCCCCACGCTGTGGCTGCCAAGTCTAGGAAGAAGGCAGGTTGGTCCCTTTGTTTCACTCAGAAGAGAGAAAACTCCTGAAGAGAGTTTGGGCCTTTAGCCCGTTTTGGTTCTAAAAAAAATCTGAAAAAGGTTAGGCCTTGGTCCATTGTCGTTTCTAAATCCACCCCTCTGTGGACACCCTACAATTCATGACAGAGGGTTACTCCCTATACCACCACCCCACATTGCTTCCTGCCACTACCAATTTTTTTTTAAATTTCAACAATTATCCTTTATATTTTAATACACAACAAGATCTTACACCCCCACCTCTTTTCTTAAAACAGATGCGACATCTGTTGAAGAAAAACTCTTCAACGGATGTCGACATCTATTGAAGAAAAATTCTTCAACGGATGTGCCACATCCGAAATTCGTTGAATTTTTTCCTTTTTTAGTTTTTTATTTTATCGTATTTTAAATTAATATATAAATATTATTTAATTTTTTTCAAATTATTACTTAATTATTTATAAATTTATTTTATTTTATTTCTATATCTACCCTCCTTTATTTACATTCTTTACTTATTCTTTAATCTACTAACCTTAAACCCCCTTTTTAAACCGTTTACTTAACCCGGCTGCCGTTTGACGTTTTGTTTTTTTTTTCTTTAGATTTTGTTTTTTCTTTTCTTTCTTTTAACTTCTCTCTCATCTTACTTTCTTTTTAATCCCTTTACTTAATATTTATAATAACTTACTTTATCTTTATCTTTACTCCTAATCTTCTTTTTAATTCTACTTATCTGTCCTCACTATTAACTTCTTTTGAACCGTTTACTTAACGGGACCTGTGTCCACTCCGTAGGGACGAAGGGTTTTTTTTTTTTAGTTTTTTAGTTTTTTAATTTATTTATTTTAATTCAATCTATATCATATATATATATATATATAATATATATATTATATAATTTTTTTTTTACTTTTTCTTCTATTTTAAACCTTCCTTTTATTTTACTTTCACCCTAACTAATTGTTCTTACTTTGTCCACTCTCGCGTTAACAAACCCCTTGTTGGCACATGACTGATGGCCGAACCGTGTCCCTAGCCTGAACTGGGTGATTATTTTCAAGCTGCCCTCTTGACAACATTGCCCTGATTACCTGCCCTCTCAACTTGCAACCAAACCCCTTTGCCACCCTTTATCTTGTTTGTACTTTTTATTATTATTTTTTATTTTTTAATTATGAAAAATTAATTCAATTATGAAAAATTACCCCTTCTTTTTTATTATGTGCTAGATATTTGCTCTACCATTAGTTACTTTTACTCTCCTTTCTGTGAAATAAAATGATGAGACGGAAAGTCCATGGAAAATGGACACATTTGAGCCAATTCCCTCTCAGTTGAATCAAATAATGTTTCAAAAAATCAATGATAAATACCATGTTTCATTTGTTGATCAAAGTATGATTTATTTTGTCTTAATTCCTCTTCTTCCTTTCATTTTTAAGAAGTGATCCCATGGGCTTGGTAACAAACAAAATGAAAGTAATTCAATATGAATTGAAACACAATATTTTTTATACTTTATTGTTTTTATTTTTTAATAACATGATACATGTGTGAAGAACAAAAGTTGAAACTAATCTTCCTTTTTGTGTCTTATGAAAGGTTGGGTACTTAAAGTTCTAAGGTCACATACATGTACTCATAGGATGGTTCCTAATACTTAAATATCCAAAGGTCCCATCGCTATGGCTCCTTTCAACACTCTCATTCATCACGCATCTCCATAACAGTAGAGTAATTCAACTATGTGTG